TATTTCCTCACCTGAGCCTGGACCTTCAGCTGTGTCCAATGTCCAGCCAGGAGTCTGCCAGGCCCAGGCCCAGACCCATGCGACTGTCAACAATGTGAAAGGATAGGCGCCTGCCGCCCACTCTGGTCAAGGCAATCAGAAGGCCTGACATGGCAATAAGATTACAACAAAAATTGGGTAAAAGGGGAAAGCAGGTGGGTAGTGGCTGGTGGCCTGGTGACCACTTTTCCCTATTAGTTATTGAAATCAGCTGTCAGAAAGAGTTCCAAAATTGCACAAGTGCCACTGCCTGCCTATTGATGACTGAATTGGCATACATGCCAGCTTAGAGAAAGCCTCAAGAATGCACTGGCAGAAATGGAAGGAAAAGATGCCATGCCACAAAGAATGTCAAGATTCGTAGGGAAATTTCCGATGCAATTTCCCAGCCATCCGAACTGCATATCAAATTGATATTCAATGTGCTTTTGTGGCGAGTGTTTGGGAGAACAGCAAGCACCAAGCAGCAAAGAGAGCAGAGCAGATCCCCCGACAGGCACTCAAAAAAATGTCCGACGTGACCATGGTAACCTGTTCCACACAAACACACACACACACAAGCATGGAAACAGAGAAGGACATTGTACACACGTATGCAAAGTACATGGGTTTCTGGGGAACGGTTGATTTGATTGCTGTCCGAACGAGAGCTGCAGCTGAAGGACCTCTAGAGCGTTGCCAGTTGCGAGTTTGAAGCTCAGCTGCTGCTGCTGCTGCTGCTGCTGCTGTTGCTGCTGCTGCTTGGAAAAGTTTCAACAATGCAACTCTTGCCTCTGCCTCTGCCCCTGCCACACACTCAAGTGCGAATGTGTGTGTGTGTGAGAGTCTTGTGCTGCTGTTGCATTTGTTTGTTCTGTTTATAATTCAATTGTAAATGCATTTCAATTACGTGCACATTAAACTGGAGCCCAGCCACAGGACCCACAGAACCCACAGACAAAGTTTTTTGGTGCCGGAGCAAGGACTAAGACTTGACCACTTGGCCAGAGCCAGGGCCAGGGCCAGGGCCATTACCATGGATGGCCAGAGCAGAGCATAGTCCCATTTGCCAGGAAGAGCGATCCCAGAGTCTGGAGCCAACTTAGAGAGCGGAACACGCTTCCCATTTAAGGACAATTGGCCCATTATGAGAACGCGTTGAAACGGCAAAATGAAAGTGGGCAAAAAGCAAAAAAAGACAATGATAGAAGGAGAGGAGAGGAATGGATGGAAATGGAGATGGAGAGGGAGATGGAGTCAGCGAATGGCTAACAATGCCATTAACAACTACTACAAATGGCCCTTGAAGGTGCAATGTGTGAAAGACTAACCAGGAAAGAGTTTACGGCTCAAGCAAAGGAGAAGCGGAGGATCAGGGCGTAAGTCCCCGCACTTAGTGTTGTATAGCGTTCTAAGCCGTCAAGATAGTGTGTTAGGCAATACTTTGAAAGCTCTTCAACAGCTCAACGAGAGCTTACAAAATGAATTATCTGCTAAAAGGGTGTTCGGTAGCAATTTAAACAATCAATTAGTGTTGAAGAGAGTTTAAAATAGCTCAGCTTTAGTGTTAGGCAGCACTTAAATGCGAGTAAATTCAGTATTTTACCCTTTTCCAAATACCAAATAACGAAACCCAAATCCAAATCAAATCGAATTCAGCTACATCTGCTACATTGTTAACAGGGTTTAATGGAATGTGAACTGGGCCAAAAAGTCGTTTAGGGCCAAACCCAAACCATCCCCGAAACAGTACAGCCAGGGTACAGTCACGGACAGCGAAACCTGCCCAGTCAGAGGTTAAATGACCTTTGGAGTGCACTTAACCAGGCAACAACATTCATCCAACCGTTCGAGTCTGTCGTCCCTGCTGAGCCCCGAGCCCCGAGCCCTCAGCCATGAGCCAAGAGCCATGACCCATGGGTCCTGAGCCCCGAGCCTGCCTCCCTGCCTCACAGTGTGTGTTTGCTGCAACCCTCGCAAGTTTTTTGGGCCGTAACCAAAGCCACTCTAATGAGTCCAAGTCCGAATTCGAGTCCCGCCGCATTCACAATTAGCCTTAAAGTCCTTCAGCTCCCCGCCCCACTCAAAAGTGTAACCTGTAGTGTAGTCTTGACCACACTGCAAGTACCGCACCGCACCCTTCCACTATCCCATCTTCCACCGTTTACCATCCACCTTCCATCGTCCTCGTCATCGTCATCGTCTTTGGCAATTAAGCCTTGGCCGACCGTTGACCACGGCAAATGACCGCAGCCAGTTTGCTTTCATTAATTTTTGGTTGTAATCCTTGCCGAAGCTTTTCATTTCATTCCTCACAGCTGCCGATGCTCCTGCTCCTGCTCATGCTCCTGCTCCTCTTCTGCTCCGCCTCATTGTAGTCATCGTAGTCGTCGTAGTCATCGCCGGGAGTCGAAGTCGTCGTAGTAGTCCTCGTAGTCATGTGTGGGTCGTGCGTGTGCCATAGTTCGGTGCACACTTTTTCACACTTTGTTCATGGCATAGTGGAGATAGTGGGGGATGCCCTGTACTGTAGTTGTACTGAAAGGGTTAGCCGTGTTTGAGCAAAGAGAAAGGAAAACTTCAAAGCAATTTTCAATCATCCGAAGAGTTACAATTCATTAGGGGAGACTGCTTCTGCTCCAATAATGAGAGCATTTCTAGTTTTGAAACTTTTGCGGAATTGTTATCCCCATCGCATCCTCATCGGAACACCCCCTGGAGCACACCATGGCACCCACTTTTGCTTTGACTACTCAACCGTAGGTGGCCCTGCTTTGATCAACTCATCCATTGTCAATCCTCTCTCAGCACTCAATGCAAAATTAAACTATTTACAGGTCATTCCCATAGTCCTGAGTCGGATAGGCCATTGCTGGGGTAGCGCTGTAACGGCCTCTTTTTTTCTTTGTTCCCTGACTGACTGACCGTTGGGTTTTTTGCCACAGTGGTCATGTTTTTACATCTGGGCCATGTCCAGGCCCCCCCAGTCAGCTTCGTTCGGTAGCCTCCAACGTTAATGACTTTTGTGCTGCGCCTGTCTCTATGGCTGTCCCTGTCCTGTCTCTGTGGCTGTCCCCCTGTCCCCCTGTCCCTCTGTCTGTCCGTCTGTCTCCTGGCCAAATGTTTTAAAACTGGCCAACAGAGTTTTTGTTGCTCTCTGCCCCCGCTGTGCGTTCCGTTGTTGCTCTTGGTGTTGATGTTGTTGTTGCTGTTATTGTGGGTTGTTGTTACTGGCGATTGCCGGGCGGTTAGTGCGCGCGTTTGCCACCGCCCGCAGTGTTTGCCAGGACAACCAGGACAACCGACTCATTTGTACAGGTTTTTTACACACTCTCTCTTGCCCTCTCTTTCGAGAGAGAGAGAGAGAGAAAGAGAGAGTGATGGTGATGGTGGGGAGGGAGAGTCATGCTGTGGAGAAAGGGAATTGTTAATTAAAGTATTGTCTCCTCGTTGCTGGCAAAATGAACAAGTAGAAACAAGGACTCGTGGCCCTACTGGAACTACCAGTACTCGTACTACTACTACTACGGCACGGCTCTTCCTGGTGCCGCTCCTGGGCCGTCAATTGTCGAACATGGTACTCTACAGTTCCACTTAACAGCTACAATGGGCACTTTGCCACAATGAATTCAAATGGATGCCCCCGACGTGAGTTTTTTTCTCCAGTTTTTGCTCCTGCAGCACACACACCCCCGACACTCCCGACACCCCATCAGGGGGCTACATACATGTGTTGTTATTGCTGCTGCTGCCACTGCTGCTGCACACACACGTGGACATGACATGAACACAATGACAGCTGACTGTTGGCTTCCAAAAGTCCCCGGAGGCGTACAGTCTACAAAGACAGAGAATGAGAGTCAGAGGTGAGGCGGAGTCGGCAGCGGAGTCATAGTCAGACCCGAATATGGTGAGGAGACGGATACGGGCCCGTGATTCTTGAATAAAAGCTTTAATTTCGGGGTTTACCAATTAAAACTACGTGGCCAAATGAAAAATACATACGAAGCCAAGCCCCACGTCCCTGAATGCATAATACAAAGGCGGAAGGGGGGGTGGGTGGTTTCGGGTCCCTTAGGGAAATGAATGAGAATCTGGGGAAGGGAAATTCCCTTCGTACGGTGAGCGGGGGCCGGGGCAGGGGCAGGACCCCAGCACTTGAAGTGTAAATTGGCTGGCCAAAGATGCAATTGCGACGGCCACGAGTGAGTGCAAATTACACAAAAGCAGAAGAGCTCGTGAATGTGATTCGGGGCAAAAGTACAGTCTACGGTCTGCCAATGAAGTTTGGCAACGTGGCAACGGGACTTCAGCAGCTTCGGCCAGAGCTACAGCTACAAAATTAATTTGTTAAATGGGAATTAAATAAATGAAATGCGGTCAGTTAGAGTCGACTTTTGGCCAGCGTAAGAGGATCACTCGAATAGTAATGAATGGACGAAAGACTCTGGACCCCCTCCTCCTCCTCCTCGTGTGTGAAGTGCGGCAACGTAGCACCATTAACACACCATCGACAGTGGCCCCCAAAAAATGGTCAGCAGCTGACCAAACAGCCACCTGGCCGCGGTCCCAGCTGCTACCTCTCCTCATTCATCCTTCATACTTCATCCTGCATCCTGCATCCTGGATGGCCTGCCCACAGGCAAACATCCTCGCTTCCTTCCTGCTTGCAAGCCCGAGCTTCGCTTCTCTCCTTTCGTTTTTTCTGTGTACTTCATTTAGCAGGGAATCCTGTTCCGTCCCTGTTCAGTCCCTGGCCAGACAGTGCATCCGTGTATACGTCAGCAGCGACATTATTGCTGTTGTTGCTGTCCTGTCGGTTGTTGCAACGCCATTATAACGCCATTTTGACCCCACCAAACAACCACCCTCCGACCGGACCCACCTTGGACCACCTTTACCAACTAATTTTTTACACATTTCTCATTTTTCAACCCGCCATTATCCGTGCTTCCTTTTGTTGTTTCGCCCCCTCTTTCCAGAACGACACGATGCGCCTGCTGTACATGTACCACGCACAGGATCCGCCGCACGGCTCGGTGCGACCGGGCACCCTGCCGGACCCGGGGCGTGCCTTCCGCCCCTACCGCCCCATGGTGCTGATGCAGCGCGCCCAGCTGCCGATGCCCTCGCCAACGCACGATGAGCGCGTGCGAGTCCTGGAACTGCGCAACGAGGATGTGGAGCTGCCTGGCGGGGACACGCCGCTCTTCTGGTGCAAGATGTTCAAGCTGGAGGACATCAATCGCAAGCACCACCTGATCCGGGTAAGGCACACGCTTCTGTGGCCCCTTTTTCCCTCCTTCCCTTTTACCGCCGCTGCAGGACTAAGCGTTATTAAATACAATGCATAATTAAGGCCAAGTGCAGTGGCATCCTGCCAGTGGCTGTAGCAGTAGCTGTCACTGCTGCTCCAGCTCCAGCTCCCGCTGATGCTGCTGCTGCTGTTGCTACTGTCTCTTGGCCTCGGCATAACCAAATTGAAATATTAAAAATTTATCCCCACTCTCCCTTTCTCTCTCTCTGTTACCAACAATGCACTAACCTTTGTCTCTCTCCATCTCTCTGCCGACCCGCTCTCGGGTCGGTTCATTTTCTTTTCATGGCTGGCAGTACGAGCCGATTTATGATTCATCGTCCAGCGTGCATTACTTGCAGCACATAACGCTGCACGAGTGCCAGGGCGCTCACTCGGAGCTGGAGGAGATGGCACGCGAGCAGGGACGCCAGTGCATGGGCGCCCGATCCATACCGCTGGCATGCAATGCCATTGTTGCCTCCTGGTCGCGGGGCAGCGAGGTAAGCATTCGAACGGAACGGAAGAAGAAACCCCTTACCCCCATACCCCCAAACCCAGTTCCTCCCTGACCTCACTCCATCAGCCAGCCAACCCCCTTGCATTGGCTGGCACTATGCTACCCATCTCGTCATAACCATAACCATGCAATATTAATTTAACCTTCGCAAATGCTTCCTTTCAACACGAAGAAATACGTAAAGGAAGAGTGCGGGTCGGGAGGATATCCGACCAGAGTATATGCCCTTAAACTGGGGAGCTCGAACTTTCGTTTACACAACATGATCTAAAACTGGAAGCTTGAACTAAAACTAAGTTCGAATCTAGATCCCCCCTCGATAGAAATTATAACTGAAGCTTGAAGTGGATGTAAAAGTCAAAAAGTAAGTCCTCTCCGCGAAGCCAAGCTGGCAGGAAATTTAAATGGAATTTGTTCCCGATCTTGTTATTTGTTAGAACTGATACCTTCAATTGAAGCTAAAAATCATTCAAAAGTATTACAAGCTTTCCATAAGGTACAATTTAAACAGTTCCAAAACCCACAATCCAAATACGTTCAACACTCCAGGGGTCTTTCCCTCGTATTGCAATACAGAACATCTTCGATCTCTTAGTCCGGACAACCATTTTGAAAAGAGTATTCCGAAAGAAATAAATACCATTGGGCCCTGGCCCCCTGACCTCCAGCCTCATGGCTCTTGTTTTTGGGAGAAGCTCCGCTCAGGGCACGAAATAAAAAAACAAGGACAGAGACAGGGTTTTCATAATTTCATCGGAAGAGCGCCATAATGCAGTGGCATGTTACGGCTGCTGCTGTCCGCCAGGGGGCGCTCTGCAATGCAATTGAATGGCAATGAATAAGATGGGATTGCAACTGGGACTGAGGCTAGGGCTGAGGCTGAGGCTGGTATGGTGTGGAGTGGAGCCTCCTCCACTGGCTGGCTGGATTTAAATTGCACATGGCCGTGGCATCAACTTCCGTCCGAGCCAGGGCCCCAACCTATATGCATATACACATGCCCATACATCCCAAAAAAAATAACCATATCCATACATACATATACTCGGAGGAGTATAAAAACAAACACACCCCATAACACACTCCTACCGTACCCTACCCCCAGCTCCTTTTCCATTCCCCTTTCTCCTCATTTTTTTCACTGATTTTTATAATTTTTTGGTCTCTCTCCTTTGTGTGTCTTTCGCAGGGCTTTACGTATCCACACGAGGCTGGCTACCCGATCGAGTCGCGACAGGCCAAATATTACTTAATGGAGACCCATTACAACAATTTAAAGCCCGACTTTGCCCAATTGCACGCCCGACAAATGGCGGATAATTCGGGTTTGAAAATCTACTTTACGCACGTCCTGCGACCAAACGATGCTGGCATATTGTCAATCGGTAAGTTACCCCCAAAAACTCAAAGGGGGTTATCTCTACAATATACACATACATACATATGTATGTATATGTACATATGTATATATATCGGGGCGGTCGTGTGTCTGGCGTGTGTTATAGGAGGAGTGCAGCTGCTGCCCTTTTGTATATTTTATGCGACAGAGAGATGAGGAAGCGCTTTCTATATGCAGCTCATGTCATGCAATTTATGAGATTGCCAGAGTGGACGAGAGACGGGCGAGGGGAGAGGATAGAGGGTATAGGGTAGAGGGGAGACTGGTGGGGGCGACTGCACTGTGGAACTGTGGAGTGGCATGCCATGCAGTGTGGAAGGTCTAACCACATTGGTGGGGCTAGTAAAACAAAAGCTTATGACTTTGCCCAGCTTGTCCAAATGCGGTTTAGCCATGTATCTATGTATCTATCTATCTGTGTATCCATATGTGTGTGTGTGTGTATGTGTATATCTGCAGATACAATACCAACAAACAAAAGGATACATCCAGGGAAAAGGAGCAGTAGCAGCAGCAGCAGCAGCACCCGCTTCCAGACAGCAATTTAACTACCTTTTATACCCCCCACATAAAAGTTTATATCGTCACAATTTTTAATATGTCTGACAGACAATGAAAATGGTTTTCCATTCTTTTTTTTCTCTGCCGCTCCAAATTGCTTACAAATAGATTTTAATTTTAAATTTTTGGCGTACCATGGACACGGGGCCCTACACCTGCACGCATCTAAATCAAATACTCGGAAATTCTCGGTGCCTGGCATGTGTCTGAATGAAAGTTTTCCCTGCCAAGCAACTAAATAATTCAAACATTCGAAGGCTGCGACTAGTCGTATGATTGCGGGTAGGTTGTGCACTCACTGCTGCAGCGAGGGTGGCCGCAAGAGTTGGCGAATATTGTCGAAAAATTTGGGAAGTAATTGACTACCATGTGATTCCAGCCATAAACCTTTTTATATACCCTGAAATCAGATGCTATCAAATAGTATGTGTAGATTATATTCTATAGCTTCTTGATTACAGCGGTCGATAGAATTCCTTCAATACTAATTCAAATATATTCTTCGCTATGTATTCCATCTTATCGCTAAAAAAAAACTTAAACAAAGACCATATATTACATCTTTTGGAACGTCAAAAACCACATCAGCTGTACTCCTTCGAGAGCAAACTTCAACTTCCTTTCCCATTAAATCTTTAAGAACGAATATCTTAATCTACTCCTGGAAAAAGCCATAGCTTCTGGAGCTTCCTCCTCTGTCCCGCCTCAATAAACATATTTTCGGAATTATCCACCAGGTGAAAATTTCTCTGACTCACCAATCGTCTCTCGATTGGAATAACCCGCAAAATAGCAATTTACAAGCGCCAGTCTGCCCTTCCCCCCTTCCCCTCATCCACCTACCACCATCCACCACAGCCTAAGCGCTTTTTGAGTACTTCTCAGCCACACACCGCTGCACCGCCCACTCATAAGGTTCGAGGGTGGGAACACCTGAAAATTCTTGGGGGGTGCTCAATTTTTTGTTTCGATATTCATTGTGTGGTTCGTGCGAAGGCAGCGGATAGGCAGAGGATAACTAAAATACTAATTTCACTTTAGAAATTATTTTCTATTTTTTTCGTGGCTGTTTCTTGTGTTTGTTTTTGGCATTTTGGTGAGTTGGGGGGTTGGGAGTCGAGCAGGACCACCCACAAGGATATAGATCCTTGTGGTTGTTGCAGTTGTTCTTATTTCACTTTTGCTAAGAGTCACGCAAACCAATATAACTTTTTCCCCGACCGCACAAAGAGAACGTGGGAGGGAGACATGGCAAAGCGCTAAATAAGGGGCAAGAATAAAAGGAACAAGGACTGTGCCAGGTTCTGGGGCAGACATACATACATACACACACATATATAGGTATTTTTTTTGAGTAGGTGTTGCCAAAACTTCCGGAGTAGAACGCTGAGGCACAAAGAGAATGAAACAGAGAGAAGAACGAGAAGTGGATTAATACATCTTGATAGGAAAATACCATTTGAAAAAGTCGAAAGAAGCAGGAGCGAAATTGTCGGTAGATTTCATGGGCAGGAAAAGCCGATTGGCTGTGGGTGGGCTTAAGGGGCGGCAGTCGGCATTTGCTATTGAAATATTTAATTGGACACACACACACACACAGGCAAGCACAGGCACTCACATACAGATACAGATACAGATACAGACACACGCAAGTCAATAAATAAAAAATGAGTAAAATCATGAAGCAAAAAAATAAAATGTTTCTTCTGGTTTGCTATAAATTGAATTACGAGTGATGCGAATGGATACGCGGAGGAGGCGGGGTCCCGATCGGGGGCTAAAGCTCTCTCGGGTCCCACACTCGCATAAGTAGCTGCGAAATTGCTACGTTTCCGGATTCCATTCCCTCCCGCCGCTCGGGCACGCTCTGGCTGTGTGGCAAAATTTAATTTCAATTTAATTGGTTATTGATATAGCGCCCTGGTGTATGCAACGGAGCTGTGATTAATGTTGTGGCTTGGCGAATTTTTATGGCACCTTGGAGATGAGTGAGGCAGAGAAACGAGCAAACAGGCAGCCGGAGAAAGAGAGAAACGAAACAAATGAGGTTGGGACATGTTAAGCCCCTGCCTGGGGCATTGTAATCCCCCACTTGAAGCCCATCGAATAATGCTTTTGAGGTAGATTTGAGGGGGGATCATTATCATACCTTTCCAAGATAGCCCTATACCTTGTACTTCCCAGCTTATTGTAGATATTTTTGTATTAAACGAATGAAGATCGGTCTTCTAAAAAAAGTTTTAAGTGAGTTAATTTTTCCTATACATTTGTATGAAGAAAGCTATTCAAACACCTTTCCTATGCGCCTATTCCTTGCATATCTGGCATGCAATTTTCAATTCCATCAAAACTCTTGTCAGGAATTTCAGTTTACAGTTTCAGCCGCAAAATGATCGCCCAAAACCAATAGCTTTTAGGCAACTGTTTGTGGGTCTACACGATATGAGTATATCTGATATGATCTGTGCCTTTCATAGACCCTCTAATCAAATTGTTTCGTATGCCAGGCGCGAGTCTCGCTGTCTGAACTGACGCTTTTGACACAAATTGCCATTTAAAATAATTAGAAAAGTTGCAATCGGACTGCATTTGTGCATTCTGCCATTCGCTGGCTGTCAGCATGCAACTGCCAAAAAAAGGAAAAAGAAATAAAAGCAGTACCCAGCACCCGCGATGGCAGCGTTAAATATCGATTTGGAAAATATGTGTAGTTATGAATTGCGAGTCCTGTCCCCCTGTCGCATTCTGGGCCAAATCAAATAGAAATAGAGCCGTTCTCCCTCCGAATTTCCCGCTCCTGGCCATGCCAGCAAATTTCGTCATGCTTCGCATGGCCAATATTGAATTTTGATTTAATGAATGGAAATTGGCAGCAAACGCAAGGAGAGAAATAGAGACAGAGCAGAGCCAGAACCAGAACCAGAACCCGAACCAGAAATGGAAATGAAATGAATCCCAACGAGCTCTCCAATCTGTGACAGACAACCATTTCACCGTGAGATAGATAAAGTGAGAAAGAGGGAGAGAGAGAGAGATAGAGAGGGGGAGGGGTACAGGGTACGGGGTACGGGGAGAGCTTTCTATGGCACACGTTCTGATAATATTCAAATGGACCTGATCGAATTGAAAGTTAATGGAAATCAATTAAGGGACAGCCGCAAACTTTCCGCAACTCTTGTCTAACTTTTCCGATCGAATTTCCAGAGCCCGAGCCAGAGTCCCTCCAAGAAGCGATAAAAACTTGGCCGAGGCTTACATAGAACTCGCATGAATTGTAACTTTCAATTAAATTGATGATGGAGAGTTTTTCTATCATAACTTTCCCGTTGCCCCATAGCAATGCCCTGCTGAGACCAGACCAGCAGATTGATTGATTTTCCTCGCGTGACATTTTATAAAATGACCAAAATGCGAAAACCAGGAGGGAAAACTTTTTAAGCCAACACGGCATCGTTTTTGCCATTTTTGGGTAATTGAAAATTGATTCCCGGCCACATGACAAAGCCAAACCCGATTCAGGGGCGACTATGAAAATTAATAGAAATAATCTCCACTGCACACAACCAGAGGTAAAATTTACATATATCTACATATACATACATATGTACAAAGATATACATATGTATATATATACTAGTTTACACCACCGATTCAGCGGCTGTCCCAGGAGCGGCAGTGTGTGAAAAATGCAATTGATTACGTAAAATTTTGTTAAATTTTGAGCTGGCGAAAAAAAGTCCACAGCTCAAAATGGATATTTTATGCAAACTGTTTTAAAGTTAATATTTTTACGTTGGTTCAATGGGATTATAGGGGATAAACCGGATCGAAAAGAGGCGGACAAGAGTATAGGTCAAAGGGGGCATGGCATGGTAATTGGAAAAAAAAAAAAAAGGATTTAAAGAATATTTAAGCACAGATTTATGAGATCCACGGAAAAAAAGAGCAACACCGAACAAAAATGAATTCAATTGGCAGCTGAATCCAGAAATGCGCTGCTCCTCCGGCAATGCCAAGTATTTCCCGCGAGTATTTTGATTGGCATACTATGGCATACCCCTCCCCACCCCTCCCGTGCCATGCCCTACCCATCGAGCAGAGCCTTTCGTGGCATACTGCGAGCCTCAGAGCCACTCCCCACGCACAACAATTGAAATGCCATACAGTGGAGAGGAGCAGCAGCAACAGAACAGCAGAGGAGGATGGTGAGGCGGAGGAGGCGGAGGAGGAGGAGGAGAAAGAGAAACAAATTTATATGTAGCACATGAATTTCAAATATTTTTTCAACATGGCAGGCGACACGCGGCCCTAATTGAGTGTGGGCGGAAGCGGGGCGGGGGAAAGGGAAGTATATTGCCCGAGGCCAGGGCAAAATGGAGAACATGGGGGTCCTGCCCCGGCCTGCTCTCTTTGCGTATGAACAATATTCCACAACATTTAACTAATTGAGCCAGCGAGCAGCAAACATACAGAAAAAAATGTGGGTCCTGTCCCCCCAACAACCACCCAAAAATCCAAAAATTCAAAATTTGATTTGTGAACAATTTCTGGAAGAACAGAGCAGGGAAATGTCCCTAATTGATAAATGGCGGATGAGAATGAGGAGCATGACAGCAGGGGACCATAGGAGCATGGGAGCATGGCAGCTCTTGCGACTGCATTGACAAAGTTGTTAAAACATCAAAAGCAGCAATTAAAATGTAATTACACGTTCTGCGACAAATCGAATTAAAAAATCAACGTTCAAAGTTAAATAGAGTGTCAGTGGATAGAGCCAGAAGGGCGAGCCAGGAGCCAGGAGCCGGGAGCCGGGGACCACTGATGAGCGATGATAACGAGGTTTGGGGTTTTGCACATTCCACGTGTCGTGGCAGGGTCTATCAGAGTGTATCTGGGGGTGTGGCAGAGGAGTGTGCCGGGCCAGACGCGTGGGCGTACTACCATTAACCACGGGAGCTTTTAGTCAGAGCTCTTAGCTGCCCCTCCCCCGACGAACCGTTAATTAAAAGCGCTGAAACGTTTCTGAGCCCCGAATTCAAAATTTTTGCCTTTCGCAGGAATGGACCCCAACTGGCGACACATTATTCCGCCGGGCCAGAAGCGCGTCTTATCGGAGGGCCAGTGCATTGAGGACTGCACCGGGTATGCCTTCCCCCAGCAGGGCATCAACATATTTGCGGTGATGATGCGCACCCACCAGATCGGCAAGGAGGTTAAGTTGCGCCAGGTGAGTAATGCCCCTTCCAGCCCCCAGTCACCACTTCTCTACTTGCTGTGCAAGACATATAAAATGTATATGCTAATGAGCAAACTTCTGGTTTCTAACCCCATGACAGATACGACAAACCGAGGAGCTGCCGCCAATTGCACACGACAGCAATATAGATGTTGCCTATCAGGATTTTCGACGTTTGCCACAATCGGTGCACTCCCTGCCCGGGGATAGACTCATCGCCGAATGCATTTATGACAGTTCGTCACGAAAGGCAATTACCTTGGGTAAGTGCTCGGGGGAGTATATAAAAGCCACCCACACACACACACACACACCAACACACTAACACACCAACACACCAACACACCAACACACCATCACACCCAACCAAGCAACAATAAAGATTGCAAAAAATTTGTAGCAAGTGAAGAAAAAGTCCAAACATTGTCGTGAGCGAAAAATATTCTATGAAATTGCCGATGTGGCATGGCTGGATGGCTGGAAGGTTGGATGGTTGGATGGTTGGGTTGGTGGTTGTGTAAACAGGCAATGGCAACGGTGAGCAATCGTCGTTATGACACATTTAAATCAGCCAAACGATATGCGACAGGAGCCCCAGACAGAAGACTGTAGGATTGAAGGACTGGGCGGAGTCCGGACTCCGGACTCCGAACTGAGACCAGAACGAATCGCTGCACACGATAGCTCAAGACAAAGGCGAAAGCAATAAAGGAGCAGGGGCGGGAGTGGAGCCAGTGAAGACAGAGGAGCAACGTCATTGTAAAATACATAAACCAAGAGACTGAAACATTTCACTTAGCACACGGGACACGGGCGGGACACGGGTTGGCAGGCTGGCAGGTGTTAAAGCGGGCTCTGGCCGATGTGGGTGTTGCCTTGTCCTGGTCTTGTTGTGACAGCTGCTCAGGACTCCAGTGAAATGGGCAATGCGGAGTACAGCAGAGGCACCCAAAGAGAGGGCCAGAGCCAGAGGTTGCTGTAAATGAGATTGGAATAGCGAAAGATGGCAAAATGAAGCTGCCACAACAGATAATCATAATGGAAAGAACTGATTTTAATAAAAGTGCAAATGAAAATGGGATGATTAGCGCATAGAAAGTCACAAGGCTACCGTGAGAATCGACTATAACGAACTGAAAGCACAGGAGAAAGTGTAGATGGAAAGATGCAAACGATTGATGAACTGGTTCCCACTGGTTCCAGAATTTATCACCGAGCCTGAGTGTTCCCCAGAGATCTACGAAGCTTTCCTTTCAGTGCTCCATAAATGCTCAACACTCCACTACACAATCAGTGCCCTGCACTGCACTGCCCACCTCTTAACGTTTTCCAGTTCCCAGTTGAGTCGAAAGACAACACCTAACGTAAATTTGACTTTCTTGCTTGCTTGCACAAATTCAAACACAATCTACACAATTCAGCAGAAGTCTAGAAGGTAGATGGGAGATGGAAGATGGCAGGAGAGGAGAGGCAGACGACAGGGCAGAGTGACAACGGGTCTCAATAGAGACACAGCGAGTCGTAATAGACAAACGTAACGATGTTGCACTAAAAAGAATGGGAACGAGAACGACAACGAGAACGAGATAGATCCGTAGACAGTGAACAGTGAGGCAGTCAGGCGTGTGCTCGGGAAATATAAAGCTTTTCCCAACTCAAATAAAGCAAGAGGCAGGCACCATACTGTACCATTCCGTTCCGTTCTGTTCTGGCTGTTCTGTTCTGTTCTGTTCCAAGCCATCAACATCAACGTTGTCTCCGTTTTTTGCAATATTTTTATGATGGCGCCTTGGCTGCTTTACGGCGCTGCCAACTGCATCGGCCGCTTAATTTTGTTCTTTGTTGCAAGCCAGCCATGCCAACTCAAGCCGAAGGTGCAACTGCCAGTACAATGGGGGATGGGATGGGATGGGATGGTCTGGGCGCCGATGGAGGTTAAGGGACTAGCCAGGAAATTGTCCTCAACTCTCGTTGAAAATTTGTTGCATTTTCTTGTGTGTGCGCTCTTGTCTTGGAGGATGGGTTGATGATGGGTGGGTGATGGCTGGGTAATGGGTGGGGATTCATTTTGCTTTTGTTTTTCACAGCTGCATTTCTTATGCATTTCGTTTTCTTCTTCTCCGTTTCTCCGCCCGCACAGGTGGCCTCACCATGAAGGAAGAAAGCTGCACAGTGCTGACACTCTACTATCCACGCCAGAAGAAGCTGACAACGTGTCACTCACTACCGAGTCTGCCCACAGTGTTGCATTCGCTTGGCATCGAACAACTGGCAACGTAAGTTCCTTTTCTTTCCATTTCTTTCTTCTCATTTTCTTCTTTATAAATGCTGTATGGTTATGCCTGAGTTTACCAACAGTTCCCAGTTTCCAGTTCCGGATCCGTAGCCGTATCCGGAGGCTAATGAAAATTGACATGTACCGGAATTAAGAATATGTATCAAGGCAAGCCGGGAAACTTCAAAGGGAAATGAGCTGCACTGTACAGTGGGGTTTATCGAATAAATGATCACTTGAATTCCAAGCGACAGAGAGCACGATTCAACAGAGCGTGAACAGAAAGTGCGTTCATCGTTTATCGATATACTGCTGCAGGTGCAGTTGCAACACTAAGAACTACATAGAACTATTCTCTCGCCGAATCAATTCACTCACCATTCACATTCAATTTGGCTCCATTGTAGCTCCGCTCCTCTTCTTTCCGGCTCTCAACCTCCTGCCGACCCACTCGACATTGCCGGGACCTTGCCTCTGTTCGTTTGGCTTGTGTATAAGGAAATTTGGTTTATTCCTCTGTTGACTAAAGTAATTGGTGATTTAATGATGTTGTTGCATAACCAAATCACCTAACGAACTCACAGTGGCACTGCCACAGACCCAAAGAGGCAGAGAGAGGGAGAGAGCGAGTGAGATTCAAAGTCAGAGTCAGAGGAGCAAGCCAGCAGCCTGAAGAGGCCAAGAGGTCGGGTCCTCGGGTATTCTCAATTCTGAAGTATTTGCCTAACAAACAATCGGAAAATGAACTGTGCACTGCAAACTGCTTTTCTCCTTTCCCATGCCCTCCTCTCGGGCTCTGCTCTAATTGAGAATTGTGAATGTGGAAAAATAAATTACGAGACAAGCAAAGGCAAACGCTGTAACGCCGGAGTAGTGAGAGGAGGGACCTCGAAGGAGAGACCTCGAAGGAGAGACCTCACTTTTTTTTTTTATTTAGAAAATATTGATTTCTATTAACGTCAAGTGCTAAATAAACAGGCAAGTACGGAGTCTGGGAGCCAGTCAGCCATCAGCCATCAGCCATCACTCAGCCGTCAGTCGAGGTCCATTCAGTGCCCCCCCAGCACTTGACTGCTGAATGGCTCTGGCCACCAATTGGGAATGCAGCGCCATGGTCTAGGATAAATCAGCTCGGGGCCACATAAATATTGTATTAAAGCGTGCGCTAAAAATTAGTCGAAATTAAACCTGAATGGTATTTGGGGGTGAGCAGGATGGATGGCGGCCAAGGACTTTGGTACGCTCTATTAATCACTTCCTATTGACACAGGGCCAGGTCCGAATCGAATCAAGCCAAATCAAAGATAATTTTCTATGGTTTTCCGTCTCCTCCACACCTCTCCTCTCCTCTACACCGCAGAAAATCAAAGTAAACGGCATAAATAGATTACGGTTAGGGGAAGAGGAGGAAAGGTAAAGAACGGAAAACATGGCCACGTAAATGAGTTAAGAATGAAGGGCCAATGGGCAGAGGAGAGGAGAGGTGAGGAGGGGAGTGGTGGGGGTCTGTGCTGAGGTTAAATGTAAAGGATTGCCAGAGTTAAAAGTGTTAGTTAGGTAAATGCGGTTAGATTGGATTTTTGGGTCGATTGGGGAATGAGAGAAGAGCGTTTCTTAACGATAGAGAGGTTTCGCTCAATCTTTGATTATCTTTAGCCATTTCTATATATATACCTCAACGACGTAGATCTATATGGTTAGGGTTACGAAAACATTCAATGGGAACTATCAGAACGTAATAGAGTCCAACATTCAATATGCCATACCACTTCTAGATCATATCATATCCTGTCAAATAATGTCCCATTTCATGGTACAATCGCTTCTATGTAGAAAGGCAGAACACAAACCCATCATCGACTGGCATTGTCCAGTGCCCAATGTAAGTGATTGTGAAGTGAAGTGAGGGCCCATGACCTCCCTCCCATACATGGGCTTTTTGTCCAGACAATGTCCACTTCATGGACTCCATATATACACATGGTGGCGGGAGACGGGAGAGGTGAGGAGGAGGAGGAGGAAGGAAGGTCCTGGTGCTGGTGCTGGCCTGCGTGTACCGAAAATCGACATGAATTGATAAAGTCATTTGCAATTGTCTGTCGTTATGGGGAAACACCAGGGCTCAGGGCCCAAGGCCAACAGCCCAGAACCCAGAACCCAATACACAGAACCCGAGTTTCGGGCCTCCTCGATTCGTTTCGTCTCCGTTGTCGTTGTTGTTTCACGCGCTTGTTGTTGTTTGTTTAATACAATGGGCTCCCCCCCAGCCCCATCCACATTCACATCGCCATCCCCATCCCCATTGCCATGCCCGCCGCCCCCACGTATTCCTGCTGTTGCTATTGTTGTTGTTGGCCAGTTATTATGGCCACTGCAATTTTGTAGCGCTTAATGTCCGGCTACGGGTCTGAGCCCCGGCTACGGTTACGTCTGGGTCTGCATTGGAGTCGAGGGGCAGGGCATGGCGGGGCGGGGCGGGAGGTCCTGCAACCGAAAGTGCGAATGCGATATGAGGATTAAAATTCATAATGAAAACCCCCGAAACGACAACAAACGGATCGAATCAGGGGAGAGGTGGCCAAGAGGATGACGCTGAGCGTAGAGCCACAATAACAACTCTCTCGGACCCATCACCTCTCGAACAATGAGGGGGGCCCTAGCCGTGTCCTTCTATTTGTTCCATGTATAAGAGTGTCTATTGATGCAGCCCGCAGATGAAGCCGCATGTTGTGCGCTTCAGGTTTAATTAAACAATGATAGAAAACGAATAGCCATAACCGCATTTCACAGGTTGGACAGGTTCAGAGATTCAAAACTATTGAAAATATCTGAATCACTTCCAACGATTCGACAGCTTAGGTATGCTCTCCACCTAAGTATACCTATTCCATAAGCACTCCCCCATTGAGAGCACCGCAGCTCAAGAATTATAAAGAACCAAATGAATCTGTTTCAGTTAATAGCCAGTCCAGTCCAATTCAATCCACAGCCACCGTTTAAGCCGGTGCTCCATTCAGTCTGTTAAGCTTGGCAAATTTAAGTAATTTCCAGTCGAAAATTGATTGTTTTTATCTTTGGTTCACACAACACTGCTCATATATTATTCGTCCTGTGTCGACTCTGTTCTGATTCGGCCTGCCACGTTGAATGATAAGCTAATGATGCACACACACACTCGCACCCACATAGACACAGAAGCAGCAGTAGGAGCATCCAAATTGAGGCTCAATTGGTCTGCAACTAATGTAATTATAAGCCACTTGCAAATGCCCCCGACCAGCATTCACATCCACATCCAAATCCACCCTCTCACCTGCCTCCTCTCCGCCGCTTTCTAGTAGACTACGCATCTGACCTGTGATGCTTATTGTGGTTGAAATTCAATTTAATTTGATACGCACAGATTTTCGGTCAGTGTATGTCCGTACTCCCCGGTGAAGGGGCTTCCAAAATTGTTTGCAGTTCAACTGCGGCTCAATTGACCAACACAGAGCAATATCCATACCCATAGCCAGAACCAGAGACAGAGACCGAATTCGAATTGCACTCAGAGAGAGAGAGAGAGAGAGAGAGAGAGATGGACACATGCGACACAATAACTGGTAATGGCGAGGGGTGATGGGGTTGCCCAAGGGGGTGGTGGATGCTGAGCCAGAGAGGAGGAGGCCGAGAATTATGGGGCGCCCATCAGCATCGGCTGGACAACGTTGTCGTCATCGTCATCGCCATCATGCAAAACTCATTGAAGTCGTTAGCGTGCGTCGGAGCCCAAGGACATAAAGCACACAATACACCAGAAGTGTGGTGGCGGAAGGGGAGGACGAGCGGGAGGAAGTGCAGTGGCAGGCATCAGGATATGGCTTGACTCAGGAATTGCATGTGCAACACTGGCAGAAAACTCCTCCCAGATTCTGGCAGCTTCCTTGAGATCTGTCTACGTCTCCATTTGATGATACTCGTATATGTCATGTTAGATGCTTTCTTACAGTGTATCTGGGATCCGGAAAACCTCCCAAAGTTTTGACAGCTCGTATCTCCGCTGAAAGGATGAAGATCTCCGAATGGTTCGTACTGCCTAGATTCGTTGACCCTTTTGTTGGAGAAAAGAAAACCCCCGAGCCTTCCGGCTAGATTTTCCTCAGTGCAGCCCGGTACATTGCTGAGCTTCATTGATCATGCGCCCAGGCCAACCCAAAAAAAAGCACAGCCCGTGCCCGAGCCCGAGTCCGAGCCCGAACCCGAGTCCTGCGCCACAACCTGAAGCACTCCACTGCCACTCCCTGCCACATGCTCGCACACGGTTCCGTTCCCTTTCGTCCAGTGCCGCCTGATTCCTGAATCGTTCTGATGCCTGGGCCCGATTGCCCCGTTATTGGCTTAATTTACGTTTTACGTTTTGGGGTTTTTGCTGCTGCCTGATTTTTCTGCCTGTGTGTGTGTGTTGTATGTATGGAAGTGTGTATGTGCTCGATGACCATTTGGGCCACGGCTCTCGCTGCAGAAAAAAGAATGCGATAGTGGTTTTTACAATTTACGCACTTGCCATGGCCACTGAAATTAATTTTAATTGTACGTGCGTTTGTTCTGCGTATCTCTATCTCTCTCTCTCTCTCTCTCTGTGTGTGTGTGTGTGTGTCTCCCTCTCTCTCTCTCCTTTTGGTCGCCTGTGGCCTGCTTCCTGGGTCTGGTTCTGGTTCTGTTCTGTTCCCGGCATTAAAATCAAAGTAATTATTCAAGTTGTGTGCATTTCGTTCACTTTCTCCCGCTCTGACTGTTCTGCTTTTCCCAGTCTTCTTCGGTCCCTTTGTTTATTGGCGTTTTCTGTTTGCTGAGCTACGCAAATTGGCTTCATTTTATAGTTGTTGCCGTTGGGTCGCAGCTTTTGTTAATTGTTTAAGGCTGAATGATATAGATATCCACTTTGTGCCCCATCCCATCCCCTTGATGGCGTCCAAAAGGGGCCTCATTAAGGCTCATGATATCCTTTATTACTTTATGACTTCTTCTTCTCCAGCTCCTCCAGCTCTTCTAGCTCCCTGGCTCCTGCTCCAGTGCCGCCTCTTTGCCTCATCTCTGCATATCGGATTGCTCGAATGCACACATGGAATTTCCCAGTCCCTGGCTCTTTCTCTGGCTCTGGCACTGGCACTGGCTGCTTCCCTTCCCTTCTCCTATCTTCTTTGTTATCGATACTTTTTGCGTGGCTGGTCGCAATTATCCCAAAGATATTTCTTTCGCTGTGGAACTCTAAGGCTTCCCCGTCCTCAATCTTGCATGATTTTTGCTTTTATTTGCCAGGTTTCAAGTTAATTAAAGCCAAAGCTAAGGAGGGTGAGTCTCGTTCAGAGATGAATCTTAAAAACGTATCCTTTGTGGCTATTTTTTTGGTTATTTCCAACTTCAGTTTAAGTTCGTAATTGATTTGGGTTTCCTTCTCCTAAAAGATTTTGGAACATTTAATGGATGGCTTTTCCAGATATTCAATGTTCTACCCCTCTCCGGCCCCTTTCCGGGCAACGGCCCACCAACAGCCAACAGCCAGCTACCAGCAACCAGTTGACTGTTTGTGCTATTTTAGTTTTCATTTGTCATCGGGAGATGGCCATTTGGCCGTTATGCCAGCCAATTGCAATTGCATTCGAGTTCAAAATTGAATTTTGCTCCAATGCGAAACAGGAGGTCATAAATGCAGAGAGCAGAGCAGAGGAGAGCTCCCTCCATATCCTAATCCCCCTCGCATAGCCAGTGGAATGGCATTTCCTACTACTCTTCCTACTCTCGTACTCCGTCCTTTGTCGAAATGCGCCGTCGTCATAACGCTACATAAATAAACCCATTGCAAAGCGCATTGCAGTTGCAGTTCCAGTTGCAGTTGCAGTTGCATGTGCCTGTCGAAGTGGGTGGGGGGGGGCTGGCCTTTGCTGTAGTTGGAGTCTATGGCCTAGAGCTGGTTCAGCTCGAAATATATATTTGGGGGGCTAGGAGGGAGAGGGGGAGAAGGGGGCTGGCATTGTGATGTGCTATTGGATTTTATAATCAACAATGCCAAACCATGGACTCTGGCTTTGTACCCCTGCTGCCTGCCTGCCTGCCTGCTGATGTTGCTTCTGGTTCGAGTTTGGGTTGGGCTTTTGTGGGGATTTGGATTTGGATTCCTGTTGCTATTGCTGTTGCTGTTGGGCCATCATTTTAATTATACTGAGTGCCAATGAAGTCAATGGCTATAAGGCTAAAACGCCGGCGATTGATGACCCGCACAGCGGGTGGGAGGGGAGGGGATGGTATGGGATGGGGCGGACTGGGGCCATGGCCATAGCCATCCCAGGATGTTATCCCGTTTTTACATTACCAACATCTGTGTGAGTTTCCGCTGCATTTATATTTATTATACTATATGTGGGAGGTTACGGCGGCTACGGTTACGGTCATGGTCATGCTTCCCGGATATATTAGCAGGAGAGAACCTCCTCTTCCTCTTCCTCTTTCCCCTCCTCTTTCTCCGCCACCAATGAACCGCAAAACACCAAATGTAAAGGAAGGGAGGAAGCGAGACCAGAGTGACAGAGGGAGAGTGCAGTACACGGGGAGAAACGGGTATGGACTCGATAAATGGACTCTGGAATGCAATGCCATACGGATTAACCTCTCGTGGGTTCTCCACAGTGCAGAACAGATGGACGGAGATGGGCAAATGCAATATATTATTTTATATTATTATTATTATGGGACGCAGGACACGGACATGGACACGGACACGGATATGGACATGGGCATGGACCGCACCGGACCGCACCGCACAGACATGCGAGGACTCGCACAAGTGGCCAGCGCCATTAGATGAGGACTCAATGAGGCAGGGGACACGACAGACGAAGGGGAGGTTTTGCAATCAATCCGCAGACATTAATATTTTTCGTGTTTGCAACCGCAAATTGTTGCGGCTGTTGCAGCAGCAGCAGCACTCCACTCCACACCGCCTCCACCCACCCCCAGCAGCACTCTCCACAGATTCTCTTCGGTTCACTCGCCACAGGAGTCAACCCAAACCCCCTGCCGCAGCACCTTTCTCGGCTGGCGCTGAAGGACTACGAGTATCAGCAGACACAACCCTCGATGCGGATTGAGTGGAATCATAAATTAATTAAAAGAGATTTGTTTGCGGCTTCCAAAGGATTCAGGCATCCCCGTCCCTGCCCCCGTCCCAGTCCCAGTCCCATGGACAGGGCAAAAACAGCTCGCAAGAGAGCTCGCACAAAGAATTGTGCGTTCGTGGTAGTGCCGAGCGGCTCCCTCTCCTTCCTTCCTCTCTTCCTGTCTCTGTGTGTGGGTGTTCTATGAAATTAAAGCAACATTTTTCGTAATGCCGGGCAAAGAACAAAATTAATTAGCCTAATTGTAAGGGCGGACAGCGGGTGCCGGGGCCATGTCGAGGGGCAGCAGACACTGAGCCACGAACGGGCATGAGCATGAGAATGAGAACGAAATAAAACGAAACGAAACGAGGCGAAATGAATGAATGGAGCGAATGAATGAGACGCGATGAGATGAATATACATACATATAGAAGGAATTTATATTGCACAAGATCCCCCGCCCGTCAGTGGCGGCGGTCAGTGGTGTAGCCCTACGAAAGGGGTTCGCAGAGTAGGAGGAAAAGATGGAAAGAAATGCTTACAATATATAAGAAATAAGAACTGAAAAAGTGCACCTCGGGTGTACTTAAGTGTTACATATTCTAAACGTATAGCCTTCTATGATCGTTTCTCAGCGAGTATCTCTCTCAAGTAAGATTCGCTGAGACCTGAGACCTGAGACCACCTCTCGATGGTCATGATAAATGACATATCCTGAGTAAAAAGAGAAATCAAATTAAGCAACCAAATTATACATATTTGTTATCGGCATCAGGAGCCTGGGGGGACACAGGGTTGACATTGAATTGAATAATCAGTAAACAAACAAAGTCCCAAAAAGCGACTTCTGTAAGCCATTCCATTAGTCATCTCTCCTCCCTCTCTCGCTGTGTGAGGGATTTCCATCCCTCCACCAGACTACGCCACTGATTACTGTACACTCTGACTGAGGTTTTACACTTTTAGCCCATTTATTAAGTTTTTCTGCCTTCTGTTCTGTCCTGTTCTGCTCCGTTTTCTGTTCCGTTTTCTTCGTCCTGTCGCTCCGTGTGCGGTTTTTATTTCGTTTGGCAGACCAGAGAATTGTAACAACGTATTTGACGCGTCACAAATGAAAATCTAAAAGATTAATTAGCTCAAGTTTTTGTCGAGCGCGACGCGCCTCCGCGTGCCTCACCACGAAAATCCGAGCGCAAATCTGCGACGACTTACCGAAAAAAGGGACCCAAGCCAAGGCAAGCCAAGGATCAGAGTCAGAGTCAGAGCAACCCTCTTTTCAACCTTCTTATTTCTCGAAAATCTGCTGGCAAAGCGCCTTTCGAGGGTGGAGTTTGGCCTGTCTGCCTGCCAGCCTGTATGTGTAATAAATTTTAAGTCCTAATCAAACTTGACAATAATAATAAAGTTAATAATGTTATTTAAGGTCTGTGCCTGTCCCTTCCCCCCGCTCTAACTCTCCATCTCTCTGTGTCTTATCTTGCAGCGACTCGAATCCCGTGCTTATATCATCGCCACCCGAATTGGCTGGAATGACACTGGAGGCACGTCTGATATCCTACGATTGGGAAAATCAATTTGGCGAATTCCAGGAGGCCACACGCAAAGGCAGCTTCAAGCCCATCTGTTGGGGGGCCAAGAATCATGTGGTGCCGGTAAGTAGAGCGCAGAGATTTCTCCATTTCCCCGATTTATGCTTCAAGATAACGACTGAAACTTTTCAATGGGAAAAGTCTCTCACTTCTCTCGCTTCTCGGGCTTCTCTGGCGGCGACAAGCGGAAGATGGAGTACTCGTACACTCTCCCCCAGTGGCAGCCTCTCATTCAAAGAGCAGTACGGCCCGGTCCGGCCCCGTCCGGCCCGGTCCGAGTGTCTGTCACAGTTGAAATCGCATTAACCCTTTTTATCCATCTGGGCATCTCAATCTCGTTTTTCTTCTTTCGCTCTTTCTCCACTTCTCTGGTTTTCTCTCCGCTAATCGCTGAGAACATTTCGAGCTGGCTTCCCTTGTCCGGCTCCTGCTGCTGCTGCTGCTCCTGCTTTACATCCATCAGCTTAATCAGCTAAATTGCTAGACAATATCTGGGATAATTTTTCTTGCTGCCATTTGATGGTCCCCACCACCGCCCACACACAGATAGACACCCGCTCGGATACAAATACAGAGCCACGGAGCCACAGAGCCAGACAAGTGCTCATTTATTCATTGGATGGGGGGATGGAGTAGAGTTAAAGCAGAAAAGACATTAGGACCCCTTTCTCCATCTCCATTCCGCCATCCCGCCATACCACCATCCCTCCATCCATGCTTTGGTTAGGGCAAAATGCGGGTAATGTCTACCGGAAACCGCACGTTATAAAGTGCAATCAATTGCATTGCGGCCAGGGCCGGCTCCTCCGTTCGCTTCGCTCGTTCCGAGTTCGAGTTTGTTAGGCGCCACTTTACAGCAGTCGCTCGCAGGGTGGAGGTGGAGGTGGAGGTGGAGGCGGGAGTGGCTCGAGGGGGACGCACATCTATCAGGCCAACACACGTACGACTTCGACAACGATCATTCTAATGGGTCACACACTAAACCAGGACTAGGACCAGCTCGAGGACCAGAGCTAGAACCAAGACCACGACCACGACTAGGACGACGATTCCCAACAAGCTGCCTCTAATTCACGTCCAAAATGGTTTAGACCAACTGAGTGAATGCTCCCATATGAGCATGATTCCTCTCCCTCTCTCACACAGTCTTTCGCCTTTTCCACTGTGTGGAAATTGTGGGGAAATTGCTTAAGTTGGAAATTGTTGCCATTTTTATGCCACTGACTTGGCTCTCTGTCTTTTCCTCTGCCTCTGCCTCAGCCTTTGGCTCTTTGGCTCTCCGGCTTTCTTGTTTTCTCCTTTTTTTTCTGTAGCGCTCGAGACCAAAATTATCAACGCTTGAATTGTCATCGATTTTCCGTGCTATTGCGTTAAATGCTGCCCATTCGGGCTCCCTTCTAGTTCGGATTCAACCATTTGTATTTTTTTTAGTCAATAATTCATTGGAGGACTCTCTGCCCCGGTGACGGACAGGCCCATTGAATTTAGATGGAAAAAAAAGAGAACCCGTTGAGGCGCCTAAATTAGCAGGGAATCAGGGCAAAAAGTTATCCCATAGTTCCTGCGTGGTAGAGAAAGGTGAACGACAGTTAAATGTAGCGTGAAATATAAAGCGGCAAAAAGGTGACAAAGAACCGAAAGAAGTCCCTGATTAGTTTTCGCCCAGCGCCTCTCCAGGGTTCGCTGGGTCGGAAGGCCTAGTTCCTGCCAGCTCTTGGACGCACACAAAGAAGACCTCAAGCAGATGGGACTCACTGAGCAATGGGGCTGAAGAGATTCCGGATAAAAAATAGAGGGGGCTAAACCAGCCGAGAAATCGCCTGGATTGATACAAAGTTGGGCTTTGGAATTTGAGTACCGTACCCGCACCCCAAGGCTCCATCTATACGGCTTTCCAAAGCCCCGCTTTGTCTTTTGTCCTTTTTTTTTGGGTCAACTTAATTAGCATAATATAAAATATTGTAGCCCCAATTTTGATGGTTGCTATCAAAGCTGGCAAAGCGAGAAACCCCACAAAAAAAAAAAAAGAAAAAAAAAAACAAAAAAAAAGGCCAAAGCCGACCACCTAATTAGCATGTCAATCTCTGCACACCGACACAAACAAAAATCTATGGCCTAGCTAGCTCTGCGGGGAAGGCAACAAATTGTGGCACACCGAGTGCCAGTAGAGAGCAATTAAAGCCTTAAATTTATGCACAACACAAAATTGCACATTTTATAATGTTCAACCTCGATGGACATAGAAGAAGCAGCCGCAGCAGACACAACCGCCGCCATCAGGAGAGGCACAAACAAAGCACACACAACACACATTCCTTTTCAATTAAAATGTCTGTCAGTGGCAACAAGGGGCTGGCTCTGGCACTGGCGCTAGCTCCTTCTGGCCACGGCCAAACACCTGGATATGTCTGTCAAGCTCCTCGTGGATTTCCCGGGCAGGGGATTCCGGGGCTGACCCATAGATTTTCGTTTCTCGTTTTTCCGTTTGGTGTTCGCCCCAAAACGATTCACAAAATGCCTTTTCAAAAATTCAACAAAAAACAACGAGCAGGGTCTGACCGTTATGCTGCTGCCATCGTCGTCGTTGTCGTTGCGATTTGCATAATATTATTAGTAAACACTCGTTATGAAGTCAGCCACGCCCCCAACTCTACCTCTGCCTCTGCTTCTGCTTCAGCCTCTGCCCCACACTCACACACAAATGCAGACATTCGCTAGATTTAGATTTTCGACTGGGCATAAAATATTTGACCGCAGCGCAAGTCCCGGGGATCCCCCATTCCCATTCTCATCCCCACTCCTCCACCTATTTATAAACACAAATTTATTCAGCGTAATTAAAACACAAAATTCAGAGCCAACGAATTCACTGGGGACTCCAGGAGCAAACAAGGAAGGTGTGGCGGGAGTACGAGAGGTGGATCCTGGTCTGGTTTGTTCGGCTCTGAGGCTTCATTGTTTTGCTATTGTACCAGGAATTTATTCTGGCGTGGGTTCTGTTTACTCTCTCCGGCTCTCCGCTCTCTCTCTCTCTCTCTCTCTCTGGTTCTCAGCGGGTGGGAGGGTATAACTGTTTCGTTGGGCCGCTTGTTCCGCGTGAATCACCTGCCATGTTCGTGGGTTCTTCAATGGAATTCGGGAATGGAATCCACCAAAATGATGTGGCATACTTTTGGGGTAACACCCAAAGGTTAACATTCTACCGTTTTTGACGATTCTGTTGGTTATCTATTCTGGAATGCCATTGTATATTGCAATGATGGTCCCCATCGATTGGGCTTGTAATATTTTTGGAAATACTTCGCATATTTTGAAACGTGTTGTAGAAATTAGCAGTCTATGGATAGACCCATAAATAGTGGAGTATGTAGTAGTGGAGTAGAGTATCCCAGTATCCCAGTAGAGTTCTTAAATCCCTATTGCATAACTTCTCTTCACTTCACTTCTCTTTCTCTTTTGTTGCAATGTCAACGGCATAAATAAGCTTTTCAATTTCCTCCGACTCGCTGCTTCTCTTTCTGTCTTGGCAGAAGAACAACAACCGAAAAAGCGAGGCTCGCGAGGAAAAAGATAAATTTAATTAATGTTGTAATTTATTACATACAGATCCAGAGAGAGAGAAAGGGAGACAGAATACCACAGCACTAATGTTTCTCATTTCCTTTGCAGGGCTCCGAGTTCCTCGAAGGCTACAGCATTAATGTTACCAAGACCTACAAGAAGCACAAGCGGTGCAAGCCCAAGCGCCTTTTTGTCCCGATTACCGAGAGGACTGCTCCACCGCCAGCCTCCGATCTGAGTGAGCTTCCCGTCCTCCACGAGCTGGACAACAACAACATCATCGAGGGAGCGGCGCGGAGTAGCCGCAGCTCGGCGACCGATGTCCACGGACTAAGTCTGAGCCGCGGCAACTGCCGGGAGTTCGTCAGCTGCCTGCTCTGGCTGGGAGCCTCCTCCTGGTGGCTCCTGCTCATGCTAAGGACGTGAGGAGATACAGCAACACCAGCCGCAGCAGCAGCAGCAGGAGGACTTGGAACAGCAGGAATCACAGGCACCACCGTCTTACTAAACTAAACTAAACATGCAGCAACAGCAACAGCAACACAACAGAAAAAAAATGATGAAAAATCTGTGGAAAACGGAAAAAAGCAAAAAAAAAACTTAAATCAACTCAACTACAACTCTCTAACTATAAATGACATCTCTTAATCCTACTACAGATACAAATAGAAGCAGTTGGAAAATGTGAAAAGTGGGAGAGAAGAACATGAAATATTCATAATAAGCTAGCGTATAACAGCTTTCCCTTCCCCCTCCCCTATTCCTACTACAACTCCAGCACCTGCTGTTCCCTATACCTCCCAACCATCCCCCCCACCCCCAATCTATATCCGCAACACCCGTCTATTTATTGTCCTCCCTAAAACCACAATTTTTTTTTTTGTTGATTTTGTTATAGATTTTTTTTAAATTATTAACGATTATTTTAGTGTAGTCTAAGCTGAAAATAAAACAAAAGCAAAAACAAAAAACAAAAAACCAAACTAAACTAAACAAGCAAAAGAATAATGTCGAAAAAAAACCGAAAAGCAATAATTAGTTGTTGTTGTCGTTATTAAATATACAAACCGCGAAATTGTAAAAGATATTATAGATATACACCTTGACTACATATATATAGAGCAGTCATTCCTTCTACCATACATATACATATATATACGATTCATATATGTATATTTAGATATATATACACACTTACATATATACATAGGGTCTGACTAGGGTAAAGCTTGAGCGTCTGATGGGTTTTGTTGGGCATTGCAAGAAACAATCGTAGAAGGGAACCGACAAGTCCGACAAGTGGCAAGTCCTCGGCGAAGGCATCATCAGAGTCCTCCCCCCAGTTAAGTTTAGTGCGAACAACCAAGTGGAACTAAGTTCGAATGGAAAAAATCATACACACACACACATACACAAACATGCATAATTCGTACACACAACACACAAGCAACATACATACATACATAAACTTTATACGTCCATATAGGAAGGGAAATCGAGAGAAGGCAAACCGATTTAGTTTAACATAATTTTTAGAAAAGACTTGGATATATGTCTCTATTTTTTTTTTTTGGGAAAAGACTAAGAAGAAAATGTTAAAGAGAAGAGCTAAAAAAGAGAGGAAAACCCTGTATTAGTGTAGGAAGAAGCAATAATCATGATATAATTTCTACCGAAATATTTAATTGAGTTAATCACTTTATGAAGCACTTGTCCTGAATGACTCCTCCTCCTGCATTCTATCTATATATAAATATATACATATGTTTAGGCAGAGAACAAGGGAGACGAGACTGAGGCAAATCGATCAGTTTCAGCCATATGTAATGGTGCGTGTAGTCGATTTAATATCGATATTTGGTCATTTCCTCTGAAGTGCTTCATATAATGCCATCGGTTTCAACCAACTTTCAAAACTTGTTTGCTGATCAATACCGCTTGCAGTCTATGCGTTTGTCGGATTTTGTTAACCTATTGTGGCTATACTATACTCGCTATTTAATCTTAAGTTCAATTCAGTTAACTATTGCAAATCTACCTGCGCTTTTTGGAACAGAATTAAATGAACGAAGAAGCGGAAATACTCTCAACACTCAAAGTGTTGCCTCCTCTCTTTTTCAGTCGCTGTCGTTCTACTAATCTCTCTCTAGTTTATACACACACACATAGGATATCACGTTTTTTGCTAGATATAAGTTGTAAATACTCTCCACTAGAAGGAAGGAACGTGGAAACGGGAAATGGGAAAGGGGGAAACTAAAAGCGGAATTGTTAGAAAAGTGGGGTAAATGAAGGAAATAGGAGGATACGGAAGCATTATACAGGGTGTGTGATTAGGTACGGCTCTCGATCAGCTCTAGCAGCTCTAGGCATAGGATTGTACGAGTACTATATACAGATACAGATACAAAAACAGATACAGAAACGGATACAGATAGACGGTTAGAGGACACGTAGCATTGTATGACGGGGCCGCCAAGTTCTGTTCGAAGTAGTAAAAATATACCATATACATACACACACACACACACACACATACGACATTAACATAAATATATACATACATACGATAACTATAACTATAAAGTCTATATACATATACATATATATATACACATATATATACAATACCCTAAATATATAAGTAGTTACGTGGTTCGTAGTTGTAAATGTGAATGTGAGTATTTTATACAAAAACAAAAAATAAATAAAAATAAAAAAGCAAATAAAGCAAAGCATGAAGCGATAAAAACAAAACAAAACCAGAACAAGAAAAAACATTTTTTTTACCAAAAGAAGATCGAGATACCGATCCCCCATGATCGAACGCTATATATATACAATAAAAATCATATATATACATAGATATATATTTTAGGATAACTACTATAACTATGATTAGTGACAAGTTGGCGTAAGCAAAATGCAAATGCAAAGTTGAAACAATCAAAATAACATTTAAACAGAAAAGAGAAAACAGAAAACAGTACAGTTTTTTTGCGAAAAAACTATTAAAAGTTTTCCTCCAAACACACACAGACACACACACACAAGCCCGGATACTCATCCCCAAACGCACACACAGTGAAAACTTTACCCCGTTTTTGGTGGGGCCAGCAAGTGAAACTTTTGTTGCAGCCCGAGGCGTGCCCTTTAAATATGGGCCATTCTCCTTTTGAGGTTTTCCCACTTGACGTGCAACTTTTTAATGCCATTCCTTCTACCCCCTTCACCCGGCACCCTGCACCCTGTTCCCTGCCCACTCTCAATCCCTTTCAGCTGATTGCCAGCGCTGCAGCGCTTTGATCCGAGTTGGCAGGCCCAACTAGGTCTAATTAGGAGCGATGAGCAGCCAACATCGTTCTCATAGTTTTGGATTTCGATTCGCTTGCTTTGTCCTTTGTCATAGCAACCTGGAAATTTTTTGCCCCTTCTTACCAGAGTTTTTTCTACCTTTCTACCTTTGTTTGGCACATTAATTAAACTTCTTGCCCCAGTGAGGCGAGGAGACAGAGAGCGGGAGCGGGAGCGGAAGCGGGAGAGGGTAGCCCGAGCAAAAACACGGCGCACAATTACAAAGCCAAAAGCGGAAGGAAACCAGAATGCAAACATTTCTTCTTTTGGCTCGCCAATTGGAAATTAGTTTTGGGTTCTGTTCTGGCACTCAGATATGCTCACTAACACTAACACATCCACACACAGATACAGCAACACGGAGAATGAGGAAAATGTATTCATATAATTTAATTAAATGCAAACAACAAAAACGGTTTTGGAAAATGTACTTGCGATAGTAACGATAACACAAAAAAAAAGTCAGTAAATAGTTTCAAAAACTACATATACAAACAAAAAGCAAACGAAGCCAGAAAAATGGAAGAAAACTAAACTAAAATAATCTAACTAAACCTAAACCTAAAAAAACAACAAAAATCCAAACGGAAACTACATTAAAAATGCAACAGAAAACAGAAGCACACGAGAGAGGACAGCAGGAGCCGTGGGGCAGAGATGTCGTGGAATGGCATCTAGGGGATTTGAGGCAGCCAAAGAGCTGCTGCAGTAGGGAACCAATGGAACATCCTGCTTATGGAGCAACTCCTGAGTGGAACATTTCAATTGCATTGCCAGGTCTGTCTTTCTGCCTCTCTTGGCTGGCCCTTTCTACCTGGCCTGGCTTAATGCCTTTGTTGGCCAGCTCTCTGCTGTTATTCCTACAAGGCTTTCGCTTTTTTTTCGCTCTGACTTTGGTCCTTAGGTTCCATTGAGGAACCTAATAAGTTTTTAAAACTGTCCCAATTAGCTCGCTTAACTTGTTTCCTTACCATGGTTCAGTCTTTTCTTCCACAAAGACACCTTTTGTTCATCCACTCAAAGGAATCTCGAGAACCAGAAGATGGGAAGGGAATGGACATGAAGTTCTTGCCCCGGCTCCAGCTCCAATCTGTCAAAGTAGCGAAGTAGCAAACACACAGAAACAGTACATAGAAAGATAGAGATAGATAGATAGAGACAGGTAGAAAGAGAGAGCGAGGAGAACAATGTAGGATGTTAGTAGTATCAAGATATGTGTATATGTCCTTAGGCCCTCTATTGAAAGTCTTTATTTCGAGAATGTCGAGAAGCGGGACGGAGGAGCAGATGAAGCAGATGAACCAGATGAAGCTGGATGAGAGAAAAGAAGCGAAGAAACCAAAACAAAACACAACCTACCTAAAGCAAGAAAACAAAACCTAACTATTTTTAGTGTGTACCTTGATTTTTTCCAAGCGAAAGAAACCTTGAGCGGATTCCCATTCCCCCAGGAGAACTACATATATATACATTACGAGTAAAGAAGCAACCATAAAGAGAAATCAAGTAAAAGGAAAAGCAATAAAGCAATAAAGAGCAAACGCATAGCTATCAATATGAGGAGCGAAATGGAGCGGACTGGACCGGACCGGACCAAAAACGGAACCGGATCGGAGGATTAGGCTAAACAAATACCATAACTCTAGGCAAAGATATAAGTAACAGATTAGAACGAGTGGAAGGTATAGCATTTTTTTTGGGTCAGCCTTTTTGGCAGGAACGGAACGGAGCGGAACGAAACGGAAAAGGGAACAGGGATATGGGAGCGTTGTGTGGCGACAGAAGATGAAGGAAATCGAATTGCATATGATTAAAATCAACCAAAACAAAACAAAAAACTATTTTAAAGTAGAGCAGTTTGCGAAATATTTAAATGTGTCGTTAGTAGGCAAGTAAAAACCCACAAAAAAAATTGTAGTTGCATTGTCGTTAGCCATAGTAGCAAAGTTGCATGAGGAAAAAACATATACATACCATACCATACATCATACCGAATCGAAGAGAACTAACATAGCCAGCATCATAGGAAGAGCATCATCAGTGTTTGTGTGTCTCCTGCATGAAATGGAATACGTACACACACAGCCCACATAGATACATATACATATGCATACATATATACATATATATACATAGTAACGCATACAGATAGTATATATATATATATATACATATATATATGGAGATAAAACCAACCCTCACCTAGACCCAAAGAATGCGCGTAGAAATCAAGCCACATACCAAGTAACTAAAGGATTACCAGATAACGCCACTCGATCGTAGGCCATAAGCTATAGACAGAAACAGGGACAGAGACAGAGACAGAGACAGCGACAGAAACTAAACTAAACCCAGAACTCTGCGTGAACTGAGGCAACTGTACTTGAACCCACATTCTAAATGCCAGAAAATCTCCTATTAAGCTTCCATTAAGCTCACTCAGTTTCCACCTGGCCTAGCCCCACTTTTAGTTTCCAAACTAACCTCAAACTGAGCTCAACCCAACCTAAATCTCTCCAAAGAAAAATGCAAGCGGTTGCCTCTATTCGCACAGCCAAAAATCCACATCCAGAGACCGACAGAAACAGGGCTTTTTTGATACTGAACTAATTGATAACCAGATAGAAACGGAAGCCGAA